ATATATATATATATATATATATATATATATATATATATATATATATATATATATATATATATATATATATATATATATATATATATATATATATATATATATATATATATATATATATAACGCCATTGTGAGTTTCCCTTCTCACCTCCATCCTTAGTGCGAGATCTCCTACAACAAAAGGTTACAAACCGTTCAGAAAATGGTCGAGATTGCCAACACGATTTATGTAGGGGCACTCTTGCTTAACACAATTGCTGAAGGAATTGGATATTTGGACCCATATTCTGGAACGGGGTGGTAATATCAACAATATACACCTAGATTTTGCCTAGGCTTTCAACAGTGCACCCCATGAAAGGCTGAAAATCAAACTAGAAGGGTACGGAATTCGGGGAAATGTCCTAGCGAGGATAGAAGACTTTCTACATGACTGCAAGCAGTGTGTGGTGATTAATGGCATGAAATCATCATCTGTACCTGTCACAAGTGGGGTACCACAGGGCAGTGTATTGGGCCCGCTGTTGTTTGTTTCATAAATGACATGCCTGATGTTGTACACTCCTCCATACAAATGTTTGCCGATGACGCCAAGTTATTTCCGGAAATCAAGAACCAAGCGAACTGTGAAGAGCTGCAGAAGGATCTCTGTGAGCTCCAAGAATGGTCAAAGAAGTGGCTGCTGAGATTCAATGTCACGAAGTGTAAGAGGATGCACTTGGGGCGTACCAAGGAGGCATATCATATGTCCCAACGGGATGAAAAAACTGCACAATTTGAGACGTTAATGTGATTGATTTTGATTTTGCCGCTTGCAGCGGCTACTTTACCTAGGTGTGTATGTTGACAATGAGCTAAAGTTTTCGGGCCATTGCGAGAAGAAGGTAAATCAGACAAATAAATTATTGGGTCTTATAAGAAGGTCGTTCATATATCTAGACATCCCTCGTAACGATCTTCAAGAGTGAAGTGCTTTCCCATTTGGAGTACTGTTGTAGTGGATACCTCCCCTACAAACGATGTTTGTCGCTGAGTAGCCGACCCCGCGAATTCCCCAGTGTATGCCTCGTGGTCTAGGTCAACCAGAGCCGCCTTACATGACGGAGGTCAACTATTAAGCCACGCCTACCTCCGCTATATAAGACCTGACCTCGTGGTGACCACTCTCTTTTCTACCTACACCAACCAGCAAGCAACACCTCCTCCACTCCTGCCTGGCGGCCCTCGCTCCCACCGGCGAGCATGGCGACCCACAAGCTGGTCCTCCTCTGAGCACCCTCACCAACCAGTTCTCTCTATTCAACGCTTGTAACCATGCTGCCTTCCCAGCACCAAGCTGCATTATACATCCAATACAACATGTACACAGAGAGCACATTGTGAGTTTCCTTTCTCCATCCCATCCTCAGTGTGAACCAAATAACCCGTACGCCACAAATGGTGACCCCCGGAGATTCGCACTCACACAGGATGGAGGAGAAACCGATCACTCTCCCAGTCTTCAAGCAACATGGAAGACTGGCTTACCCACGCAGAGGCAGCTCTCATCGGCTCTACAGCTACTGTCTCTACACCGCAGGTTAGAGACCCTAGAGCAGCTCTGCTACTCAAAGCAGACAGCCGCTCTTCTTCCTGCCCCAAGCACCACGTCCTACCGACCCCAACACACCCGTCCTGCCTCAGACGCCGCCCCCGGCCCAGCAGTACTCCCTGCCGCTCCTCCTGATGCAGCCCCTGCTCCCGACGTGGCCCATGCGCCTGAGTGCGGACCCATACACCCCTCTTTTCTCCCTCAGGTACTCCCTGCTACTGTCCTGCACCCTGCTGCTGTCGTGGACCCTGCTGCTGTCATGCACCCTGCTGCTGTCACGGACTTTCCTCCGCTCCTGCTGACGCAGCCCCTGCTCCTGACCCAACCCCACACACCCCAGCAGGTGCATCTGACGACTCTGTACCTGCCGTGAGGGAAGCACAACATTCATTGCCTCCACACACCCTTTTTCTCCCTCTCTACTCCCATAGATATTGTGTATCTAGACCAGTGGTTCTCAACCTTGTTTGCCCCATGCACCCCTTTCACCATATGTCAGAATGTCATTCCCCCTTCCTCTCCAAGATTGTCTGCCTCAAAAAGTGCATTCCAAATAATATGCATATAATACTGAAAATCCTTTATTTTTTCCATATTAGTACATATACATTTACAATTTTACATGGATTATTTTTATAGTGGAGTTTTACAAATTAAATGCCAATTGAAAATGTTGATGGCTTTATAAAACTTGAATAAAAGTAAAATAGTTTTTTTTTTATTTATAATGAATTACTTAACAGACCAAACTGAAGCATAATGCAATAAACAAAAAGTTCAATAGAATACCAGGATATTGTAAATTTGTAATTAATTTTATTCAGATGATGATTACAGTCAATAAGAAACCTGTGATTGTTTTTTCTTCGCCAATTCTGGGATACGCGGAGGAGTGCTTGAAAGGGCACAACGCAGGTCATTTTCTACCTCTAATCTACTACGTTGCTTCGTTTTAATTTGCAACAGAGTTGAAAAGCCTGACTCACAAAGATATGTCGACACAAACGGAAGCAATGCACGGATAGCTCTTTCTGCCACTTTTGGGTAGGAATCGCACATCAAGGGCCAAAATTCTGTGATTGATTTCTCATCGAACATATCTCTTGCTCCCGAATCAGTTTTCCCCCCCTGAAAACCTGAATTCCCCCCCAGGGGGGAATTCCACCCTGGTTGAGAACCCCTGATCTAGACAGTTGTCTCCTCTAGCGGCCGGCTCATCCACGCCCTCGCCGTTATGGCTCACATGTGGCATGCACCGCCCGTTCTGCCTCACATGTGCCATGCAACCCTGCAGACAACAAGTTTCCTACACAGCCTGGAGGGAAGGTGGAGTACTGTAGTACTGAGTAGCCGACCCCACGAATTCCCCAGTGTATGCCTCGTGGTCTAGGTCAACCAGTGCCGCCTTACATGACGGAGGTCAACTATTAAGCCACGCCTACCTCCGCTATATAAGACCTGACCTCGTGGTGACCACTCTCTTTTCTACCTACACCAACCAGCAAGCAACACCTCCTCCACTCCTGCCTAGCGGCCCTCGCTCCCGCCGGCGAGCATGGCAACCCACAAGCTGGTCCTCCTCTGTGCACCCTCACCAACCAGCTCTCTCTACTCAACGCTTGTAACCATGCTGCCTTCCCAGCACCAAGCTGCATTATACATTCAATACAACATGTATACAGAGAGCACATTGTGAGTTTCTTTTCTCCATCCCATCCTGAGTGTGAACCAAATAACCCGTACGCCACACTGTCACCCCGTCTGGTCCCCGAGATATGCTAGGGACTGTCAGTTGGTTGAAAATGTTCAAAGGAGGGTTGTAGGGGATTCCTTCCCTACAAGCGCCGTTTGTTGCTGAGCAGCCGAACCTTCTCGAATTCCCCAGCCTACGCCTCCAGCGCCGCCTACGGAGCGGGGTCAACTATCAACCCATGCCTACCCCCGCCTTATAAGACCTGACACCACTGTGACCAGCCTTTTTCTACTCACTGCCACTAGCATGCAACACCTCCTCCTCCGCGCCAGCCTGGCGGTTCCCGCTCCCACCGGCGACCTTGGCGTCCCTCAAGCTGCGTGTCCTCCTCTGGGCACCCTCACCAACCAGCTCTCTCTACTCAACGCTTGTTACCATGCTGCCTACCCAGCAACAAGCTGCATTGTACATCCAATACAATATGTATACAGTGAGCACATTGTGAGTTTCCTTTCTCCATCCCATCCTGAGTGTGAACACATATCTCATAACCCCACAGGGTCACCAGACTGGTGTCTGCACTTCGGCACCTCAACTACCGTGAGAGATTGGAGAGCCTAAACTTGCCAAGCTTATACTACAGACGGGCAAGAGGCGGCCTGATTGAGGTGCATGAGCATCTTAAGGGGCACTACTCAGTCGAGTGTCCTTACTTGGAGCTGGCGGACGCTCGCCCCACAAGGGGTCACAGCTCAAGATTGAAGAAGCCGCAAGTCCAGAAAACTGTGCGGGCAAACTTTTTCGGAGTGAGAGTTGTGAACTCTTGGAACAATCTACCAGAAAATGGTGTGACGGCACCGAGTGTGAGTTTTTTCCAGAACAGACTTGACCAACACTGGAGCAGGTCAGGTATATTCAGGAGGCGGTGCAATGCGGTGCATGCCCAGTACCTGCCAACAGTGCGTAACAGAGAGCCAGTACATGCTAGGGACTGTCAGTTGGTTGAAAATGTTCAAAGGAGGGCCATCAGACTGGTGCCTGCACTTGAGCACCTCAGCCTCCCTGAGAGATTGGAGCGCCTGAACTTGCCTAGCTTATACTACAGACGGGCAAGGGGGGACCTAGTTGAGGGGTATAAGCATCTCAGGAGCCACTACTCAGTTGAGTGTCCTTACTTGAAGCTGGCGGACGCTCGCCCCCCAAGGGGTCACAGCTCAAGATTGAAGAAGCCGCAATTCCAGAAAACCGTGAGGGCAAACTTTTTCGGAGTGAGGGTTGTAAACTCTTGGAACAATCTACCAGAGAGTGTTGTGACGGCACCGAGTGTGAGCTCTTTCAAGACCAGACTTGACCAACACTGGAGCAGGTTCAGGTACATTCAGGCAAGGTAAGTAGATACCTACCTTGCATTCAGGAGCCGGTGCATGCCCAGTATTTGCCAACAGTGCGTGACAGAGACGTGGCCGATCGCCCGGGCGGCTAGCGAGCCGATTAGCGATGAAGAGGATAAAAATATAAAAAAAGAAAGTGCAACATTGCTCGAAAAACCTCATATCACATCGACTCCATGGCTAAAGATATATTTTTTGTAATTGTTATATACATTTATATTTTTAAGTATAAGAATTAAATTTGAAAATATTTTAAAGTATCATAAAAAAACTAGATTTTCGCGCTTTGAAATATTTCTGTGTAATTCCTTCCCTGAGTTACAGGCACTTAGTTACGCCGTTACAGGGCTTGGGATGTGGTAGTCGGTTCGGTAGTTAACTTAAATCTGAATCCACAAGGTGATGGTGAACGGCCGGTTGCCCGTAGTGACTAATGCGACTGCGCCTGTTTACTTGAAGGAGGAAACGTCATTCAAACCATTGGTGAGTGCCTATAACTACTTAACACTTTTTTTAATAATTCCGGGAGTGACACCATATACTGAGCAGTCACGGTGAAGTATTTTTCTTGTAGTTACTTCCAATGTATTTTAATAGGTCTAGTATACTACTTCATAACCTTTTATTCAATCTGATATAATTTTACCCCATTATTTCACCTTACATTTACCTAACCACCACCACCACTTCTCGGGGTGGCCATGACGGAGATAACAGGTTGGTGGGGGTTCGACTAATTACCCAAATGTACCCAAATGTAGCCGCAATGAAGTCAAATGATGGTCCTACAAGCGTAAATCGGACTGCCAATCACTTTTCGATTATTATTTGGTGTCATAAAGTCACAAAAAATTGGTAAACTTAATGTAATCTGAGTTGTGTTAGGTTAGGTTAGGTTAGGTACATGCACTCGACCTATTAACTCAGATTAAATTACGTTTTCCAATTTTTTTTTACTTTGTGACACCAAATGCTAGTCGAGAAGTGATTGGCAGTCCGATTTATTCATGTAGGACCATTATTTGACTTCATTGCGGCTACATTTGGGTAATTAGTCAGACCCGTCGCTAAGGTCTTCCTACTGTTATTAGTCTTGTGTAGAGTTATTTTTAAGCCCATTATTGGCCTTACCCATACCGCTTCAACCATAGAACTACCTGTAAAATTTAAGTTTCACTACCAATTCGTTTTTGACCAGAAATCTAGGGATTTCCCATGGTATTTTGGTAATTATATAGGACTAACCAGTGAGCGAAATTGATTGAAAAAAAAAATAGGAAAACACCGGATTTTCGCTGTTATTATAGTGGATATGGATGTACTTTGTGGAAATATGTTAAAAATTTGATATTTTAATAATAAGCGTCACTTAACATTTGTGGGTATGAAAAACAGACCTATCCTAACAAGCCTACCTAACCTTACCTAACTTCCTTACCGGCCCCCGGATCCCCCTGTATATTAAACAGAAAGAACTTACTATGATATGGTGAAATTTGAGGCATTTTCTGGACGTGAGACGATACGACCGCATCGGTGCTATGTACCCTGGGCGGCGGAGTGATTTACTGTGTTGGCTGGTCCCACAATAAATGATTATCATATCAGAACTCATTGATGAAAATAATTTAAGAAAATAAACAGTCTCTATGTAAAGGAACAATGTCGTGATCTTTAAACAACTGAAGGGTCTGGTCGTCCTTACCCGAAAATTCACAAATTATGTCCAGGTAAGGTCAGCGACAACCTTCACACGACATGCTTAAAAACAAACTGCCCCGGGCACGGGAAAAGCCCCTCAGCAGAGCAGGGCCTCATTACTGCCCGCAAGATAAACTAGTGCATTCCTAGGCACCTAATTATCTATGAAACGAACAATTTCCACAATAAATGATTATAATATCAGAACTCACTGATGAAAATATTGTAAGAAAATAAACAACATTAAAAATAACTCGCTCACTGGTTAGTCCTATATATTAACTGGAACTTAGCTGGTCCTGCCAAAATATCCACTACATATTTTGGGGGCAAAGGTGGAGACGGTTAGCACCAGAATGCATTTATATATTTGGTAATCCTGGAACAGATGGCTAACACCACAACACACTGTTTGATTTTATTAAATCTTTCCTCGGATGTTCTTTGGATGATAATCGATAATAAAAATGATACAACAGTGCACAGAATTTAATAGAACCTAACCTAACCAACCAAAGAAACCTATCTAACCTTACTTAATTTCCTTGCCGTTTGCTCCACTATTACCATACGTCAAAACACTGAGTTTGAAGCTGTGTTCTCTTTATGTTAGGAGTGCCTGACATATTGAAGAAGTGGTCTGGGTTTAATTTTCCTACCCTTTCAAGATGTAGATTGTCTCAGTAATATATATAGAACTTGTGAAATAAGAAAACATCCAAGATTTGTTGTGTAAATTGGTACAGTTTTTCATCTTTGCATAAGTATTAAATTTTTTTACACTATGCACTGAAAGACGTAACTGAGAGTGAAGCTGCTAACAGTTGTGGGGAGTGAAGTAGGAGTTCGGCTAAATGGACAATTGAAGGACCTTGTGTCGTGATATAATACAAGTGTTCTCAGCGTTATCTTAGAATAGGTTGACTTGGGTTATAATTTTGAAATGATAAAGTCAAGCATGTACTGTACTATGTAATTGTAATTTATGGGCTAATCATTGTTGATGACCAGTTTCTTCTGTCTGTCATCATTGGATATTGAATTAGATAATGTGAAGTGGTTGTTTCTGCTATTTGTTTAAGACAGTATTACTGAATTCAGTCATTTGCAAATACCTCTACTTGTATGGTGAAGTTATATTAGATAAATTAGGTTACATACGTTGCATTACATTACGTTTGCAAGTGACCAATTTCAGTAATGTAGGATCAGCATCATCATCCTTGGTCAATCAGAATGAATGCAGGACAAATAGCAGAAGTAAAGGATTGTGACCAGGCAAATAACCAATGCCATATTGGAGGTGGACTTTACAAAAACTATAGATGAATACAGTATTTACATATTTATAGTGTTTTGCACTATTGTACTTGTTCTGGTTCATCTGAATCTATTTAAGGAAAAACAAACTTGATCTCCAGAATGATTCTGTTACCAAACATCTCAACAAAGAAAATTTGTTGACTGAATCCTTGTTTACACTGAGTTGGTCCTATCCAAAACCCAGCGAGATCACACTTCAAGTCCTTTTGCCATTTGGCTCAACCTATTTTTGGGAACCTGGTTTCACCAACCTTCTACAAATAAAGAAGTGGAGTCAGAACCGATTGGATGAGGACCCTGTCATGAGATGTGCCATGGTAATGATGCAACTTGACTTAACTGAGAAGCAAGGTTAAGCTTCCCTTTTGGCAGTGAGTCAAATGAATTTATATCTTGCCATGCCAACTCAAAGGTGTTTTAAGCCAAATTTAAGTGATATACAGTACAGTATTGGTATTGATAGGAAAATTGATTGTCATTGTGATTATTGATTAGCTATGTGAATTATCAACAATTAAAAATAACTGAAAGGTATTCTCTTCTACTCCTTATAAGAATCGTTTTATTTTTCATCTTTATTATTAAGGTTATTGGGGAAAATGAAGGGATCCATGGGGGATTTTTAAGACTCTTCCAAGCGGTGAATGGAGTGAAAAAAAAGTTGGGAATTACTGCTTTAAAATACTGTATGCTTAGATAGTTTGGGAAATACTGTATGTTTGATTAATTTTACAGTACAGTACGTATATGCTTTCAAATATTGCTAACTTTGGACAAGATTATAAAGGGACAAGACCACACACCACATAAGGATATTGAAAACACGAATTTCATTTAATTTTTCACACATTGGAATTACAATGCTGTACTGTGTATCTGCATAAAAACAAACTTTTCAATGAAATTCATATAACAATTTTAACCAAGAGTTTTAAAAGGGATTTTTCTCAAGTTAGTTAACTGTTGATTTAACAATGAACTTATTCTACAGTACACAACACTATTGATATTAAATTTCAGTGTAATCAAAAAGGAAAAGTCATGTCCCCTAACTTGAAAATATACTTCGCTGGGAGCATCCGGGCCGGGCGAGCTGATGCAGAGTTGTATGACTGCATTGTGAAAAAATTGGGAAAATATGGAACAGTGTTGACGACCTTTGTAGCAGACCCGAAGACTACTGCTACAAGTTCAGAGGAAGGTGAGTGAAAACGAGAGCAGTTATGCTGTATATTTTTCTCAACACTAAATTTATTTTCTATAGATATGTTGAACATAATTAATTGGTGTTAATATATTGTACGATATATGGGAAACTTGAGAATTATGTAAAGAAAAATTACTTTAGATTATACTGTACAGCTAAAGATAAATGGATTTTTTTTTTGTTCATTCAGTTTTGTTAACTTGTATTTATGGACTCGTATTTAAGGCTCCCCAACTTTTAACCTTGTTATATTGTACTACAGTATATAGTAGTACATATACAGTGCCCCTCCGTTAACGAACTCAGTCCGTTCCAGAAGGTCGTTCGTTAACCGAAACCATTGTTTCAATGGGTTTTTGGGTAATTGGTTCCAGCTCACCGAAAATTTCCTAAATTCAACAAAAATGGTAGAAAAGTTCACTTACTTTGAGGTGTGTATGTAGAAGGCTCCTGGATGATGATGATGGTGATGATGGGATTTAGAATGGGGGTGGAGGAGAAGGAAGAAGAGAAGGCATTGGGGTGGAAGAGAAGTCACCCCATGGTGCCATTTCACCCATAAAATTTTAGCTCTCTGGTGTAATTCAAGATTATTTTCTTTAAATCAACACTGCACTGCATTATATATTGTCAATATGTAAAATCTATTTCAAAATGACCAATAATTTGCTTGGAACACAGAAAAAAAGCGTTTAGTTGAAGAGAGTCTCAAGCAAGATGTTACCTCCAGTGAAAACAGAGAGAGACTAACTCCTGTTTGCTGTGTTAAGAGGCTGGATGCCGCGCATTAAACTAGTCACTTTACCTTCAATTAAGTTCAATAATTGTTAAAATGACTAAAAAATTGAATATTAAACTTTTAAAATTATTGAATAGTATAAACTTCTTGATATTTACTAAAATAGTAAGGAATTTAAGCCCTAGAACCGATTAATGTATTGGCGGACTGATACTAAAGCTGGTTGCCTGGTCAGTGCAAGCGAAAACATGTTGAGGTCGGTTCGTAAGAACTTCGTTAACCGAATTTTTTTTCGTTAACCGAATTGAAGATCCTTATGGAAGGCAGTTCGTTAATCTAAATTACGTTAACCGAGGTGTTCGTTAAATGAGGGGTCACTGTATATTAATTCTATATTATTTTCAATGCTTAAAGAATTTTCTCATTACACTCCCCTTTCACATACAGTATACGTACTGTACAGTATTTTTATTGTTAATATCCTAGTTGCTTATTTGGAAAGCTTATTACAGGTAACCCCCAAAATACAATGGGGTTATGTTCCTGAAAACTCCGTCTCTGGGTGAAATATTGTAGATAGGGAACATTATAACATGGGGTTCAATGGGATACATTCTCAGTCAGTCCCCAAAGGCAACTGTATCACCAAAAAAAAATTTCCCACAATACTATTGTCAGTACAAAACAAGTAAATAACACTCACCACACCTCACTCATATAATACCATCTGTGAGGGAATTACTACACCACGTGAGGCCCCTCATAACACCATCTGTGAGGGAATTACTACACCACGTGAGGCCCCTCATAACACCATCTGTGAGGGAACTACTACACCACGTGAGGCCCCTCATAACACCATCTGTGAGGGAATTACTACACCACGTGAGGCCCCTCATAACACCATCTGTGAGGGAATTACTACACCACGTGAGGCCCTCATAACACCATCTGTGAGGGAATTACTACACCACGTGGCCCCTCATAACACCATCTGTGAGGGAATTACTACACCACGTGAGGCCCCTCATAACACCATCTGTGAGGGAACTACTACACCACGTGAGGTCCCTCCTAACACCATCTGGGAGGGAGTTACTACACTACGTGTTTGCTGTTCAACACCTACAATAATCTGTATGTTCACTGTATGTTCCTTTACCTTTCTCTAATGAAGGCTTTTGTTAAACCACCAATGTATGTAATAAGTCATTTATGTCCAATGTATATTTTCAGCCTTCGGGCTGCAGAACTTTTTCAATAAACCGTCAATTATTATTATTATTATTATTATTATTATTATTATTATTATTATTATTATTATTATTATTATTATTATTATTGATTAAGTCTGGTCATCATCACATGTCCCCTTTGAGGCTACAGGGACTTGTAGGTGGAGTGGAGATATCACTCTGACTCCCACACAGCCTTTGGGGAGTCTCATGCTGCTTAACTCTTAAGCCCCGGGTGACGTTCCAGAACGTCCGGCCAGCGTACCCCGGGTGACGTTTCAGAATGCCCACCTATTCCCACCACTGTTTAAATGCCCAGCATGAGTTATCAGGTTCCAGTGGGACTATCTGCCTCTCACATCACACACTCGGCCACAAGGAAGCTTCCTGAACATAATTACCTACTTTTGTTTGTCCATTTTATCAAGTTGTATCAAAGTAATGTTGCTAAAAGTAGTGTAGTTGCAGTGTAGGGTAGTATTACTGTAAAACAATGCTATGATTATGTTATAAATGTATTTATTTGTGGAATTATTATTATTTTATGCATTACTTGCTCTACCAAACACAAAGACAGCCAGGCAGACTGGCGGGTGTTGCCAAGCACTTTTTTTATGAAAAAAATATGCAAATAAAATATACTAAATGAATTATTTATCGCAAATAAGTATTAAGATCAGTAAATACATACATTATTGGCCACCTCGGACACAAAGGCGAGCTAAAAATAGCTGCTAAGTGCGTAGGAACCACGAGTGTCAACTGTCAAACCAACACTCTCTTTATCCCCCCATCCTCCTTCCCTCTGCGTGGTCAGGAAAGTTTCTAGAGGGTCAATATATAGTTTGCCTTACTTAATTTTTATTGTTTTATCATTTTAAAAGGTTAAAAAATATTTTTTGAAAAGTTGATATTTCTCGATTTACCCCCGGGTGGGGGGGTACTGCCATCAGCACCCTAGCCCAGGGCTTAAGGGTTAACAATCTCAAGCTTCACCTCAGAGATGTAATTGTCTTGGTTGTCTTGGCCTTCCCAGACATTTTCAAAGTTCCACTGCTCACTTCAGTCGCAAAAACAGAGCAAAAGCACTTGTCACAAAAACAGACCGAAAGATGATGACAGAAACAATGATAGCAGCCAACGCTGCTCACATTTGCAAAACAACAGAGTCAATGTACCTTACAATCAAAAACACAGAAAATATCACTTCACAGTCACCATAACATAGTTTGATCTAAATGTTAGTGCTGTCCTCTTACTATAGTATAAGAAAAACTAATGATAAGTGCAATGTACGATGCTGGTCGATAATCGTGGAACCATGCGATGGCAGGTATTTGAGCAACAAAGAACCAGACACAGGGCTGTAGTGAGCGGGTTGGCCGTGTGGTGGCGTGTGGGTAGGCTGACAAGTGAAAGTAGAGATGTGTGGTGCATAGGAGCCTTCTACATGCACACCTCAAAGTAAGTGTACTTTACTGCATTTATTTTTAGTTTGTATGTAATTTTCAGTGAGCTGGAACCAATTACCCAAAATCCCATTAAAACAATGGTTTCGGTTAACGAACAACCTTCTGCAACGAATTGTGTTCGTTAATCGAGGGACCACTTACAGTATAAATAACTCGTAGTTTACACTAGAGAAAAAAAATCCTACCAATGATATCGGTGGCTATTTGATGGGTATCGTTAAAGCGAGTTCTTTGATTTTATATAGTGTATATAACAATGTTTATAAACATCGTTTAAGTGAAATATCGCATCTCGGGGGTTACCTGTACTGTACTGTAATACTGAAGACTACTTTTGTAGACATATTGGGGGTTATTTAGCTTTTTTTTTCTTAGTTACAAAATATTATTTTTATTGCAGAAGTGGTATACGTTAGAAAAATTAATCTTGAACTTTTAATCACATTGTAACTTTCTATACTATAAACAGTTATGAGTGCTTGTTTGCAAGTTGTGGCTGTGTGACTGTGGCATCAAACTATTTACAGTACAGTATTAAAGTGATATAAACCAAACCCTCAGAATAGTTTAATGGCCACCTCACTTTCTAGTACAGTATACTATGCAGTATTACCCTATAAGTTCAGATTAATTTTTTATATTGTAGCACATGCCTCACAAATCTGCAATGAAAATTGGCATTCAATAATTCTTTAGCAAAATCTGTAGTAAAAATCTAATAAGCACCTTCAAGTGTCTTCCTGTACAGTATGAAAAAAAAGAGAAGGTTTCAACAAGCTACTGTATACAGTATCATCAGAACCATGACTTGTCTTGGTGTGTTTTTATAATTCATGTTGTATGGTATATTTAAAAATTTCCAGAGACCGTACAGAATGTCGTAATTTACATCCAACAACAGTTATTTTATATTTAAGACTCAAGTATAAAGTTCTTATTCTTGTCCTTTATGGGAACTCCATGTATATTGGTAATGATTTGGTTGGTTCTTTGGTATTGTTCTTATCTCTCTCTAGACCAGGGGTCACCAAACTACGGCCCGCGGGCCGGATCCCAAGTCCTTCCCCGGCTCGTGGTAGCTCCGCCTACACTCTCACGTTACCAGAGCTTTCGTTCTGGCTTGCAAGTATTGAACAGAATGATTATGCGGCCCGCGCACGTCATTCTTTCAGTTATCCGGCCCACTGTGAAAAAAGTTTGGTGAGCCCTGCTCTAGACTAACAAAAGTTAATTCAATGTATCTAGGATGTACTGTATACAGATACAGTATGTGAATGTCTCAAAGAGTTATGATATTACCAGTAACTGAGTGTTTTTTGGGTAAAGAAGTCAAGTTGATGTTAAGATAATGGAGTTGACTGAATGTTATTAAGTTCTTCTTGGAGAGACTTGTTAAATATACGATAGTCCCTTGCCACCTGCGAGGGTTAGGTTGTTATATCCTGGGTTGGTAAGACTAAAGGCTTATGGGAAATATGGGTTAGGTTCCCATGGCCGCCGATAACACTCGTCAAAGCCTAACTAAATTGCCTGTTCTTTCTCAAAACA